ATGGAATTTCCAATCTTCATGCGTAGATAAGGTGCCTAGAGTGCTGCGAGGGGTAACTCACTCTAAAATCAGCGAGACAACGTTCAGCGTTATATAGACGTTGTGCTCTGTTTTTTCGATATCGGTGACGCTAAAGTAAGGAATTTGTCTTATGAGTCTGTTAGAATAGCATCAATGCAATAGGCGATCGTTATTCTTAACGTCGGAGTTACTATATATTTCTTGTAAGCTAGCGATAAGCTCGTCGTCGCTAGCAGCGCTAAAAGAGCCTAGTCCAGTAGCTTCTCGGATGATTTTTTTCTTACCAACTAAGAGCCGTCCCTTACAGGTTCGTTAACACCTCGATGTTGACGTTAATCGAATCTTTCTTCTTCCGTATATCTATATTTATACCTTGGTTTATATACAAAAAGTTTATGCTCTCTCTCTGTCTCTCTCTCTCTCTCTCTCTCTCTCTCTCTCTCTCTCTATATATATATATATATATATATATATATATATATATATATATAATAAAACCAAATATATATAAAATAAAATAAAAATATGCGTTTCATTAACTGAAAGGGGTTGATTATTAAATACATTAAAATTGAGTGTATAACAATAAAATAGATTATACCTTCATAATATTAAGCGCCCGAATATATTTATGATTCAAGTGTAACGCTACTTATTTACGATTAAAAGAAAAACAATAACCAATCAATGAAGAATCATGAAGAATAATCATTTATTTTTATGGCAGTTGCATTTGGGCTTCATCAATTTTTCGATTTGTAAGTTAATATGTTACAGGCAATTGGATCTCGAGGGATTTTTTTTTAAATATAGTCGTGTAAGTCGAATTAATTAAGTTTTATTCAATTTTCTGGAATTTTTCATCAAATCTATGTCCAATTTTTAGATTTTTTATTTTAATCATTTTTGAGTGGATTTTTCTGGAACTTTTAATTTCAGTTTTCTTTTGAGAAATTTAATGTCTAAGTTTTTTATTAATTTTATTCGATTGAAATGAATTTCGAAAACTAACGGATTCCAAATTTATTATAAATGAATTTCTTGGAAATTCGAAGAATTTTAAATATACGTAATTTGTATGCAATATTGGCAATTGTAATTGATTGTTATTTTTAAATTAAAGTTTGGACATTTCATGTCAATAATTTATAATTTTGTATTTAAATTATAATTTCAATTATAATTTAATTCCAAAATTATAAATTCTCTCTGTACAACGAAGAAAACATTATTCCTTCTTCCAAGAAAACACTTAAGACTTATTTTGAGTAGACAAGTATATTCTCTGTATAATGTAATGACACTTATAACAAATTATAGGTAGAAAAGTATTTTTTTTTCTTTTTACAATGTAGAAACATAGAACAATCTGTAAAACATCTAGTAACACAGTCTAGTATTTCAATATTGCAACGTTCCTCTTTCGTTTCGTATTTACAATAAACGAGTGTTGGGAAGCATATAGCGACACTACTACAAAAATTCGAATGTACTACATTTAAGGTGTCAAAAACTGACAAGTGAAAAAAGCAATAAAATATTGTAGACGATTCAAATTCGAATGTATACTTATGCACTATAGAATCTATAAATATATCAAAGCTTATTCCTAATCAAACTCCATACATTTGAACTAAGAGCAATACCCGACACATTGCTAGTCGGAGCAGGAATAGTTAGCACGTATTGTTCAATATTAATGTATCCATGACTTGAGCCTTTTGTAACAAATTCTAATGGAACTAAATAGCCATTATCATGTACCGTATACCATTGGCACATTACTCCCACAGGTTTTGTGTTTCCTTGGACATTTGCAAAAATATTAGAATATTCAATTGCTCTCCAGGTTTTTGCCTCTAGGTATGCAAAACCCAAGACAAGACCAATTAAACATTTTTTACTTTCTTGTTGTTTAAATAGGCACCAATCTCCTATGATAATTTCTTTTGATTTCACCACCGAGTCAGTGTTCTTTGTGGAAGGTCGATTTTTCTTCTTTTCCAATTCAGATTCTTGTACACGTAATAATCTGTCTGCGCTTAATTTAGACTTTTTGTTGCAAAGGAACCAACATATGGAAGATTTTCTGACTACGTATTCTTTTCCTTTCGAATCTTTTACGACTGTGAAGGGGCTATTGACGTTCAGCTCCAATTTTTTATTTGAATGATCTGGTAATTCTACATCTCCTGTAATTTTGGACAGCACAGTTAAATCTTGAATCAACTCTTCTGAATCGCAACAATTTGAATTATCAACTTCATCGCAATCATCCTGATCAGAATCGTCATTTTTTACAGTATTGTACTCTTGAATATCATTCTTTGTATTACTAATTTGAACTTGGTCAGCTTCTTTGATATTGACTTTGATACCAAGTTTTGATATTTCATCAAACGCATCAATTTTGGCCTTTTTGAGAATTTTTTTAACTGTTGTAACATTTGGAAAATCAGAACCGTCGTCTATTGGAAGAAAAGGAATCGATACGTTTTCATTTTGAGTTTCGTACGAAGCATTTAGATGCCGTGTGCGAGGAAAATGAAGACTTTCGTCTTCGTTTCCAAAATCAAAGACGGAAATATCTGCTTGCAATTGGAGTCTCAAATGTCTATGAATGGCTTCTAAAAGAGTGCAATTAACGACAGTAGAAAAAGTGGTACTCGTAGATCTCAGATTTCTAAAAAAACTTTCGCATTGCTGACTCCCATACTGCCACGGTATAAAATTTTTGAAAGAACCTTTTTCTTGGAGATTAAATGCTGCATTTAATAACCCATGGGCATTGATTTCGGTGCACAAATATGCATTAGCTGTGATACCATTATCTGTAACTGAATACTCGGATTTTTTACTGAGCCAGACCCGCCACAAACGTAAAAAAAAAACGCTGTACCAAATACAGTATATTCGGCTTTGAATATTGATGTCAGTATTTAAATATGAGTTTATTATGTAATACACGACAGTCAAGTATGCCTGTGTGCCTTCACTACCTGGGACGTGTTTTTCAAGCAACGAACGTATTCTTGGATGAGAAATTTTTTCCACGGACATAAAATTCATTTTGTCTTTTGTATTCAAATTGCTTTCAGTTAAAAGATGCTTATCTTTCGAAACACTGTTAATCAGGATTTGCAAATGTCCAACGGTAACAACAAAATTTCCTACAGGCATAATGATGGACGGTTTCAGAAATCGCGCTATTAATTTCGCGCCCAAGTGGACAGTATCTTGAGTGCATACATATCGTGGCTTAACATTAGCATGAAATTCAGGTATATTTATATTTTTTCCCAAAACAGTAAAATCAGACTTTTTTATTCCGAGATTTGTTTTTATTCTCATGGATTTCATTAAGCGAGAATCACCATCTGAGGACAAACCAACAACGGCGATTCCTTGCTCCTCTAGTTTTCGTACCGTGTACTCCCAACGGTTAACAACATGATGAGTATTAAATTTATTATCTGTTCCGAAAACTAAAAGGCAAAAACAGGGAGCTCCATTTTGCAATGGTTGAGCCATAATGGTGTACAATGAGGAAGCTACAATGTTGTTGGCAAAGTGATTTTCAATTTCTTTAGCGGAAGTTGCTAAAAATGTACAAGAAATAGGCATCCCGTTAGAGCCAAAAGGTAAAACAAACCCAACTAATTGATTGCTCTGAGAGTCATATTGCACTCGACTAACAATTCGAGTAGCGTCTTCACTGAGCCACACAAGGCGCGGAAGATTTCTAATTTGTAAAAAATGCTCAAGTTCAGAAATTCGAAGCGTGCCTTCCATTAACGGAGTCGCCGTTAAACCTATATATCTCAAAATTGAACTCGCAGAAGGAATAGGCAAATTTTCGACTAAAGAGTCATATACAATGCGACCACCAAGTATGAAAATGTAAGTGAAGTACAGTTTCAATGAAACTTCATATCTGTTTCCCTGCTTCTGTTTTCCATGATTATTTAACGCGCTTCTAATAATCATAGGTAATAAAGTCGAATTGTTGTACCTTACAGCTGGAGACGTTAATATCTTATTGAGAGAGTCACAGCCACCGAAAACGTTTCTTGGTGTAGCAGATTGGACATTTGAAGCGATCTCATCACCAGAGTACTTTGTCCCGGAAGTACTCTGGCCTAATATTCCCCCGAATTGTTTTTAAGAATAGCGTATACAGCTTGGCCAATACTGGTTGTAGGGACCATATTTTCACTGACTTCGGTGGACAAATCCTTGGTAATATTGGTAATGTGACCTTTTTGAAATAAAGAAAAAAATTGTTAACTCCTTTTCCGAATAAAATACGGAATTAATTTTCTTTGAGCATGATGTTACCACCTTCTTTCTTTCAGTTCATTTGTTATACTTTATTGTACACTGTTATTTATAAACATATTTTTATTTTAAAAAATTGAAATTGGTTTTTATTAAAACTTTTCAATTTGATTTTTTTTACATTTTTATATTTGTTTCTTGAAATAGTTTTGTTCTTTTTTTTATTAGATTTTATAAACGATTAATAGTCTAATCATGAATCAAAATTATAAAATTGAATAGTACTTGGTCAAATGTTACATCATTTTCTAGCAACATTGTGAAACAAACGCATGAAATACTAGTTACAATAAAAAGGAATCCTCGAAGGAATTATACCTGCAGGAGCACTAGAGCGTTGGTCATGACTGATTTCCAACTCAGGCAAATTTTTTCGAGAGTCTTCAGCAGTTGATTGTTCAACTAAATTTGGAGTTTTAGGGTTGGAAACAGTTTTACTTTTTTGCAAAGAGCTTTCATCATCTTCTTTTTCAGCATGAGCTTTGATATGTCTGTGATAATTCGAAAGAGACCATCTTGAAATCATGTCAAATTTCTTAGTACAAAATAGAGCTGTAGAGCAAACAGGGCATTCAATAGTGGCTTCTAAAACATCCTCAGATATTTCACCCTTTCTATCCTTTTTTCGATTTGTTTTCTTCCTCACTTCTATCGAAACTTCCATACCCATCATTCTTCTGAAAGTTTTTTCAGAAAGTGTCTCACCTCCGAGCTCATCTTGGTCACGTTTCGGTTTTTTATTCGAGGTCGAACTCATCTGCTTTTTCAACTTTCGTATTTCTTCACTGGCACAAAATTCTAATCGCTTTTTCTCTTCGGTAGATTTTTCTTTCGACTGACATTTGGCACCGTAGTAATCGAGGGGTTTTGATCTGACGTGTTTGGCAAGGCTAATGAGGAGAAACTTATCACCGTGATTGAATTTGAAATTTTCTGCTTGTTTATGCTGTACTCCAAAATAATTTTCCTTATCCTCGACATTTTCGAGTAACTTCGTCATGGTATTTCTGACAAATTCTTCAATGTCGCCAATTGTGCTTTCGTCGATGAAACGAATAGAAAGTGGATTGTCCAAGCCATTGTATTTGCAAATATTTCTGATATGAAGAGGTATAAAAGCGCCTACTTCAGCCTCAAGCTTATCCCAGAATTTTGTCCGGAGTTCCTCCTCGTTGTTTGTAGACATTTTAATGAAATCTGAAACGCAATACACGAAAGCGAATATAAGCCTAGAGCTAATATCCACTATAATTTGATTCACCAAAATTTCTATGCTGAAGATGATAACAAAAGGTACAGCTTTCGGGTATCAATTTCTCCAATAAGTTAATGGAATGAACATTCAAAATAGAACAATTTTACATACCTTTTTAAAGAATGGATGTCATCATAAACGATTATAAAATATAATTTAATCTTTACAAACACAAGTGTACACATTTTTCCCATACGGGAAAAATGTGTCTGACATAACCTAAATGTGTATCTAACCTAAAAAACGTGCTAAAAAAGTACGTAAATGTGTATCTAACCTAAAAAACGTGCTAAAAAAGTACCGACGAATTGAAATCAATTAATTATTGAACGTACCTCCGTATTATGAAACTTACCTCCGTAAAACAATTCAATGACGAGTTGCTGTACAGCAGAACACTAAAGAATTCACGAAAAATTGATTAATTTGTTGCACTTGTAAATGGAAAAATTAATTAATTCACGTTGCACTTCGCGTTGCACTGGCTGATTTGTTTATATTGCACGATACTAGACCCTGACACGTTGGCTGCGTTCGGTTTGGGCGCTCACGTGCTATAAGCATCGCTCTATCTTCGTTTGATATTCGATGTGCAACGAAGATAGAATGATACTTACAGCGCGTGAGCGCTCAAACCGAACGTAGCCAACATATTCCGAGTTTACCCGACTCGTCACGAAGAGTAAGACTGTACGCTGTACAGTAAGCGATCGAATGCTATTTTTCCTTATTCGATGCTTATCCCATGGTTATTTCTCTTCGCGGCGCGTTGCGTATGACTACGCTTGTGATTTCTTTCCTTAGCTATTGATTTTAATTTATTTTATTCGTATGCGAATGATTTCATTTTATAGAATAAGAAACTTATGTTATACATAATAAATAAATTGTACGGGCAGTTACACTGCGTTAAGCAGAATAAAGCTGCGCTTATTTTAACAACATCTACCGATTTTTTATTTTGAAAAATCATGATTTTAGAGTGATTTACCCCTCGGAGTGCTGCTTACACATTTCATATCGGCTAGATGTGAAAAAATGGCAGATTCGCGATGATGAAGACAAAAAACTGGTGAAAGAAAGGAAGAAGCGAATCATAAAGAACTTGAAATCCGAAATGAGTTTATTAGTGGATATTCCAAAGCAAGGTTACGGAACGACTAATGACGGAAACACCACGCGAAAATTTTTCCGGGAATATGCTCTATCATCGTCTATAACCGGACTTAACGCAGACTTTTTAAAACATCTGCATACAATTTTAACTACATTGTCATGTGGATATGCAATCAACACAGAAGCATTTGCAGAATATTCAAAGGCTACTGCTGAACAGTATGTGGAACTTTATCCGTGGTATAATATGCCTTCAAGTCTTCACCGTATACTAATTCACGGGCCAGACATTATAAAGGCAGCTACACTTCCAATAGGATTGTTTTCCGAGGAAGCTCTTGAGTCCCGAAACAAAGAATTTCGGAAATATCGAGAGTGCAACACAAGAAAGTTTTCTAGGGAGGAAACAATGCAAGATTTATTTAATGCACTTCTTGTAACGTCAGATCCTGTGATATCATCTTTATCACAATGCATTGGAAATCGATCGTACAAACAAGCACTAAATAAGGAAGTTTTGCAGTTACTACAAGAGCCCGAATTACAGAAGGATTTGTTGATTTCGAGTGAAAATGAAGATAACATGTTTGATTAATAAAATAAAATATTATATTAAAAATAAAAAATATTAATGTTTTAGCATTTGTCTGATTTGTCATTTAGTTTGACTTTGGATAGTCGTTTGAGATCACATGAAGGTCACTTCCAATTTCTTAAATGGAACTCCCCATATTATAGTATATATCTTTTGAAAGGGCACAAAATAAGAAAAATTTTGGCGCAAACCAGAGGTCGATACGTTGACCCGTTCAGGAGTTATTTAGAGTAAAAAATTGACTTTTTTGAACTTTGACCCTAAATAACTGCCGAACGGATCAACGTATCGACCTCTGGTTTGCGTCAGAAATTTTCTTTTTTTATGCCCTTTCAAACGATACGTATGAAACACTTTACTCTAAATTGTCGCGTTTACGAAAAAATCGGGTGATACGGGTGTTCTGGGTCACCCTGTGTATCTGAAAATGAATTTTAATTTAGTACACTATATAGCCAAAACATCCACGCTAAAGTATTAGTTGTAAAAATCAAAGATATAACAAAAATATATTACAAATAAAAATTTAAATGTGATACTATTTATTATTTGCTAGAATAATCAAAATGACCTCTGTGCGGCGCCGGCGTTCCGCTGCTCCTGACGAAGCCTACCATCCAAATCCTAGAGCGACACACCAAACGGGGTCCAGAGTCTGAGCCCCGACCAAGAGTTCTCAGGTGTCCCCGCACTTCGACAAATTCACTCCCGACGGCCATGGCCAAGCGGGGTCGAGCGTGCTCGGCCTCGTAACGAGGGTCCTCGTTACAATAGCCCCGGGAGTCTACCATCCTCCGTTATACCTATTGCGTCTCCACCCGCGTGCTAATACCATCCCGTGTACCGCGCCGAGTAGTATAGATAATGTGGTAATACCGCATGCATTAGCCCGCGCCGAGTGCACTACTGTAAATTACCGCGTCTGTCAAACACTGTAATCCCGCGTTCCGTATCGCAGCACTAGCATGTTCTGTACATACCACGCTCCGTCACTTTATATCTATCATATCGAATAAACGTTTGTGTATATTACAAAGCTGATTACTATCTCTGGGCCTTCCATCGCATCCTTGATCCGGCAAGCTAGTTCGCGTTCAATTACAAAGCTAGGCCGCTACACAATCGAAAAAACAAAGCGGAGCCGCACGTGAGATCTCGCGTCTTCTCTGGACGGATCCGGCGTTTCGTTCGGCGTATTCTGTTGAAGGTAAAGATTTAAAACACCGTTAACTTGCAACTGAAAAGTTTATTTGATTTACACACAGCGCATCGTGCGGGAGGCAAGAAGAACATGAACAACTAAAATACAAGACAGGGATACCTCGATTCGCAAACGTAACTAACGCCGACGTAACATAAAGGCGCATTCTCATGTATTAAGCGAAACCTTTATTGGAATGTGAACAAACAACACCCTCCCTCAATAAAAGTTTCAAAAAAAAAAACTTAAACTTGAATCTTGGATATTTTAAATATATATGTTGAAAAAAAAAAATTTGTAATACTTCGGTTTGGTTAAATATACCTAATCACTATGGTTACTTAAACCCATTAAAGCCCTAAGTTTCTCAAGGATGGTCGGCATAACGGTTTGGTTAGTATGTCAGCCATTTGGTTGCTAGTGTGAATGTATTGAACATTAATAATTCCCTGAGTAATTTTCTCCTTAATGAAATGATATTTAATATCTAGATGTTTCATGCGTTTCAGTTGTTCGTGAGAATTACATGACCTAATGGTTGACTGGTTGTCTTCGTAAATAGTTACCGATATGTCATCAGAAATCTTTAACTCTAATAGTACATTTCTCAGCTAACATGCTTCACCGATGCAGCAGCTGAGAGCAACATATTCGGCCTCACAAGTGGACAAAGCTACTGTAGCCTGCTTTTTCGACGTTCACATAACTAGATTGCCATAAACTTGAAGGCAATAACCACTCGTAGATTTTCTATCTATCGGATTGCCGCCCCAGTCCGCATCAGCGTAGCCTGTTAACAATTCGTCACTTGTTTTTCTCTGATAAATTAGCTTAAGATCAATAGTACCTCTAATATATCTTAATAGGCGTTTAAGACAAACCCACAGATCCTTACTAGCACAAGTCTGAAAACGAGACAGAAAGGTTATGCTTGCACATAAATCCGGTCTAGTACCAATCATTGCATACATAATGCATCCAATAAGTTTTCTACATCGAAGTTCTAAATCGGCACTCTCAGATTCATTCCTCTGTAACGTTGACAGACTGACGTTTGGATCCATTGGCGTACTCACACTGTGACAGTCAGACATATTAAACTTTTCGAGCAAACTTTTTGTTGTACCACAACTCATATGGTGTTTTCTTTACAATTGAGCTGGTTCCAGTTCTATTTAATATAAATACCGCTGTGTTAACAGCCTCAGCCCATAGATTCTTTTGCAAAAATTTTCCTTTTAACATCGTCCTTGCAGCCTCCATTACTGTTCGCATCTCTCTCTCTACCTTTCCATTTTGGGTTGGTGTATAGGGTACGCAGGTCTGATGTATAATCCCACGATCTTCTAGTATTCGCTTTACCGTACCGTTTATGAATTCTCCACCATTGTCGGTGCGTAATGCCTTGACTTCCGTTCCTTGATTTTGACACAGGGTAAGAAACGTCTTCAATTTTGATGCAACTTGACTCTTCTTGCTTAGAAAGTAGACAGTACGGAAATGCGAAAAGTCATCCTTCATCAGAAGAAAATAACGCGAGCCTCCCAGTGATGTTTCTTCAATAGGACCGCATACATCGGCATGGATCAGCTCTCCGGGAAAGGTGGTCTTGGTTTCACTACTTGGGTGAGGTTTCCTGCATTGCTTGCCTTCAATACACGCCGTACAGAAGTGATTTTTTGTACAGGAAATGGTTATGCCATTTTGAATAAGAATGTTCTTCACGTGTGCGAAATTTTGATGTGCTAGCTTGATATGATAACGAAACAGTTCACAGTCATTGTTGCAGTCATTATTAGACACTGTTTTCTTGCTGTTCGCCTTTGAATTCAACACTCCCGTACTTTCATTGGAAGTTACACTTGACAAAGTTTGTTCATTTTTATTGAAGCACATTTTGAACATTCTACCCTCACGTTTTGCAATTACGATAGTAATATTGTCTTTTACGAACTTACGAATATTATTATCGGAGATCATATTTAGTTTTTTGTCCAAAGCACTAATAACCGAGAATAGATTTACTTTTAAGTTCGGCACAAAAAATACATTTTTTAATTCTACCGATGACCATTTCTTCCCGTTAAAAGCTTTTAATTTAATATTTCCTTCATTGACTACTTTAACCTTAGCGCCGTCACCTAACTGAACCGTACGAGTATAATTTAGCACTTTATAATCTTCGAAATACACTTGGTCATTGCACATGTGGTGTGTGCAACCGCTGTCCATATACCAACAGTCACTGGATTGTTCGTATGTACTTGCCACTAAAGCTGTGATATCTTCCTGCTTCTTCTTATTCTTGTCCTTTTTCTTAAAAAAACAGTATTTGGCAATATGTCCATGCTTCTTACAGAATTCACATTGCTTGTTTTTAAAACAGTCTTTTTTCAGATGACCAACTTTGTCACACGTCGAGCATTTTAGTTTTGTGTTAGATCGGCTCACTAGTGCTGTCGTTGCCTCTTCGCTGCCGGCTCGCTCCTCTTCAAGAAGTAGTCTCGATGTTAATTCTTCGAGTGTCTGTTTATCTGCCGGGGCAGACTCCCAAGCAGACCTAAAGTGCTTGTATTGGTCCGGGAGTGACATGAGTATTTTGGTTATGGTCATCTTATCTGAAATTTCTTCTCCGGCTTGTTTTAATTTAACCCGGATTTCTTCGATTTTAGATAGAAAGTCAGACATCGAATCTTGATTAAACTCGGCCGTGAAGAATTTTTGTTGAAGAAGATGAATACTCACAGCAGATTCTTTATCGTATACGGCCTTTAGTTTGTTCCACATGTCATGTGAAGTCTCACACGATAAAATGTGTGTGAGCGGTCCATGTTTGATCCGCGTGACGATAACTTCCTGGGCTTTAGCATCTTGTTTTAACCACTCCACCTGTGCTGGCTGTTCCTCAAATTTTACTATGACTCCCGATACAATATCAAAAAGTCCACGCCCTTTTAGAATAACGGAGGTTTCAAATTTCCAGACAGGCCAGTTTTCGCCGTTAAGTTTGGTAATTATCGTGGTAGCCGTTACCGCCATTTTGGTGCGCCGTGCAGTCCCGCCGTGAGTGACAA